GAAGGTTCTGAATAGCAGACATAGGATACAATTCCCGTTCCTGGTGGAAATGGCCTATGGAAGTCGGCAGTGGGAGAAGGCAGGGGTGGGGTGGGGTGGGGGGTAGTAGATGGAGTATTGGGAAGCTAGGGGACTTAAAGGGGAGGCTGCTGAGTCCTCAGAGCAGCTCGGTGACTGGGGCCCTGTTCTGCTCTTATATCTTCATTTCTTAAAGTCACTTTAACTTCTCTTCATTTAAATACCTTTTCTCCAATTAAGCACCTAGATCTAGGTGCTTAGTTGACTTTTATATTGTTGAAAAGAGGTATTTGCAATGAATAAGTCATTCGTTTTGCAAAGTTTTATCATGCAATCTCGAACATCATTTCTACCAACAAGGCCATATTTTCCAACTATGGATCTTTCCTCTTTATTTCTAATCTCCATATTAAAATCATCAATAATTATCAATGTGTCTTGATTGCATGTTTGATCAATTTCATATGGAAGTAGTTGGTAGAATTTTTCAGTTTCATCATCACAGGCTTTAGAGTTTGATATATAAGTAATGGTGGTATTAACTGGTCTGTACTGTAGGTTTATGGATATTATCCTTTCACATTGTATTTTAAGATAGATCTTGAAATGCTCTTTTGAAATGAATGTGACACCATTCCTCTTTAGTTTGACATTCTCGGCATAAACATTCATATAATTGTCTGACTAAAAATGGTCAATACCAGTCCATTTCTCATTAATGCCCAAGATAGACTATCTTTATGTGTACCATTTAGTTCTTGATGACTTTCATTTTTCCTAAATTCATACTTTGTACATTCCATGTTCAGTTATTAGTAGATGCTTACAGCTGTTTCTTCTCATTTTGAGTTGTGCTACATCAGCAAAGGAAGGTTTGAAATCTTAACTCCATCCATGTCATTTATGTTAACTCTACTTTCAGGAGGCAGCTCTTTCCTAGTCATATTTTGAGTGTCCTTCAACTTCATCTTCAGACATTATATCTGATAGTGTTTCACTATTATTCAGGTTTACAGTGACTAGTCATTCAGAAGTGCTTTGCATTTCCTGTTTCCTAGTCTATCTTCATCCGAAATGTCACTGAAATCAGTCCACCATGGTGAACTTAGGCATTAGTGAGCTGAAATGGATTGATATTTGCCATTTTGAATCTGGCAATCAGAGGACTAGCATATTCATCTTAAAAGGAACATATCAAAATCTGTCCTGAGTACAACGATAATGTGTGATAGGTTAATATCCATATCCCTACAAGGAAGACCAGTTAATACAACTAATATTCAAATTTATGCAGCAACCAGTAAAGCCAGTGATGATGAAATTGAAAAATTCTACCAACATCTTTAGTCTGAAATTAATGAAACACAAAGTCAATACGTGATTGGAATGCAAAGGTTACTGGTGACTGGAATGCAAAAGCTGGAAACAAAGAGGAAGGATCAGTCATTGAAAAATTAGGCCTTGCAGAGATGATGATGTGGAGAGATGGAATGGCTGGGGACTTTAGACCCAGAAAGGGAGACGGGCTGTGTGCTGATGACAGGGGGGGCAGGCTTGCAGGGTATACCCTTTGGTTAGCTGATGATGCATGGAGGGATTGTAACCATGGCAGTGAAGCGATATATACAATAGGATGAATATAAAACTAATGTTCTCCCATGTAAACTATCACATACTTCACAATAAAACATTAAAAAAATAAAGAGGCCTTGGTGACAAAAATGGTGATGGAGATAGTATGATAGAATTTTGCAAGACCAATGGCTTGTTGATTTAAAATACCTTCTTTAGACAGCATAAGAGACGACTGACTATACACATGGACCTCACCAAATGGAATATACCGAAATCACATTGACTGTATCTGTGGAAAGAGATGGTGGAAAAGCTCCATATCATCAGCCAAAACAAGGCCAGTGTTAGACTGTGGGACAGACCATCAATTACTCATAGGCAAGTTCAGTCTGAAGCTGAAGAAAATTAAAACAAGTACACGAGAGCACGAATATGACCTTTAACATATGCCACCTGAATTTAGAGGTCATCTCAAGAACAGATTTGATGAATTAGACACTAATGACCAAAGACCAGAAGAGTTGTGTGATGACATCAAGAACATCAATAAAGGATGAAAGCAAAGAGTTATTAAGAAGACAAGAAAGAAGGAAAAGACCAAAATGGATGTCAGAAGAGACTCTGAAACTTCTTCTCTTGTGTAGAGATGCTACAGCAAATGGAAAAAGTGAGGAAGTACAAGAGCTGAACAGAAAACTTCAAAGGGAATTTTGAGAAGGCAAGGTCAAATATTGCAATGAAATATGCAAAGAAGGAGAACATGGCTAGCATTTCTCATGTTGAAAGAAATGAAGAAAAAAAAAATTCAATATTGAAGGGTTGAAATAGTTAAGGGTTCTTTGGGGAAAAATATTGGATGATGCAGAAATCATCAAAAAGAAGTTGGAAGTAATACACAGAGTCACTGTACCAAAATGAAATGGTCATTATTCAACCATTTCAAAAGGTAGTGTAGCCTTTTGGCTCTCTGAGCAGCACCATGGTGGTCGGCAAGAACAAGTGCCTTACAAAATGTGGCAAAAAAGGAGCCAAGAAGAAAGTGGTTGATCAGTTTTCTAAGAAAGATCGGTATGATGTGAAGGCACCAGCTATGTTCAATATAAGAAATATTTGGAAAACACTAGTCACAAAGACTCAAGGAACCAAAATTGCATCTGATGGACTCAAGGATCGTGTTTTTGAAGTGAGACTTGCTGATCTGCAGAATGATGAAGTTGCATTTAGAAAATTCAAGCTAATTACTGAGGATGTTCAGGGCAAAAACTGCTTGACCAACTTCCATAGTATGGATCTTACCTGTGACAAAATGTGCTCCATGGTCAAAAAATGGCAGTCAATGACTGAAGCTCACATTGATGTCAAGACTACATATGGTTATTTGCTTCGCCTGTTCTGTGTTGGTTTTACTAAAACACGCAACAACCAGAATCGGAAGACATCTTATGCTCAGCACCAACAGGTAAGTCAAATCCGAAAGAAAATGATTGAAATCATGACCTGAGAGGTGCAGGCAAATTACCTGAAAGAAGTGGTCAATAAACTGATTCTAGACAGCATTGGAAAGGACATAGAGAAGGCTTGCCAGCTGTTTACCCTCTCCACGATGTGTTTGTTAGGAAAGCAAAAATGTTGAAGAAGCCCAAGTTTGAGTAGGGAAAACTCATGGAACTTCATGGTGAAGGCAGTAGTTCTGGAAAAGCTACTGAAGATGAGACAGGTGCTAAAGTTGAACAAGCTGATGGCTGTGAACCACCAGTTCAAGAATCTGCTTAAAATTCAGACTTTTAATGGTGAAAAATAAAAGATCTTATTTGTGGGAGAAAAAAAAAAGAGGTAGTATATGATCAACAGCGAATGATACTGCAGGAAAAAGTCTAAGGTTCACTGAAGGCATTGACAAAGAACAAATCTCCATGAATAGATGCAATACAAATTGAAATCTTTCAACAAAGTGGTATGGCACTGAAGGCACTCACTCATCTGTGCCAAGAAATTTGGACGACAGCTACCTGGTCAGTTGATTGGAAGAGACCCATATTTGTGGCCATTCCAAAGAGAGGTGACTCAACAAATTTTGAAAATCAGACAATAACATGTAAGTAAATTTTTTTTTAAAGATAATTTTAAAAATGGCTGCAATAGTACATTGGCAGGCAACTAGCAGAGATTCAGGTCTGATACCGATGTTGTTTTAGAATGAGGGATATCATTGCTGATGTCACAAGGATCTTGGCTGAAAAAGAATATCAGAAAGATGTTTACTTGTGCTTTATTGACTATGCAAAGGCTTTCTATTGTGTGGATCATGACAAGCTATGGAAAACATTGTGCAGTATGAGTATCCCAGAACATTCAGTTGTGCTCACAAGGAACCTGTACATAAACCAAGAGGCAGTTTGTTTGAAAAGAACAAGGGAACACTGAATGGTTTAAAATTAGGAAAGTTGTGTGCCAAGGTTGTAATCATTCACCATATTTACTCAATCTGTATGCTGACCAAATAATCCAAGAAGCTGGATTATATGAAGAAGAATGTGGCATCATGATTGGAAGAAGGCTCATTAACAACCTGTGATATGCAGCTGATACAACCTTGCTTGCTGAAATCACAGATAAGTTAAAATACTTACTGATGAAGATCAAAGACCACAGCTTCAGTATGGGTTGCACCTCAATATAAAGAAAAGAAAAATCCCACCACTTGACCAGTAAATAACACCAAGGTAAATGGAGAAAAGATTGATGTTGTCAAAGACATTTTGCTTGGATCCACAATCAACACTAATGGTAGTAGCATGGGTGACCCTGTTGGTATTTAAAATACCTGTGGTCTAACTTTCAGCATCATAGCAGCCTATAAGTCACCACAGTAAAACAAACTGACAGATGAGTGGTGGTGTGAAAATTAGTCCTATTAAATATTATGTTAAAGTTAATAGGTATGTTGTGATATCCAATGAGAAAAATATTTTTAATATTTGTTGTGTACTATATATAAAAGTACAAATGCACATATAAATACAGTATGTTAATATATATTATGAAGCAATTCTAGTTACAAAGTAAGATTTCACTGTATGATATTTGAATTATGTTGAATTAGAAATTCAGAGTTTTAGTATCACCCTAAATATGGTATAAATGTAGAAATATAGTTAATATTGCTTAGCATTACTTTCTTATATAATTAGACTATTAAATTCTTTGTTCCTATTGTTAAATCTGGCTTTTTATGTTATGTCAATCATTGATAAATTAAGCAAATGGTATTGTTATAGATACCAATCCCATGGATACTGACAGCAAAGATTTTTCTTATTAATACTTATTTAACATAAGCAATCATAATAATAAGTTAATAATACATCTATAGATCAATACACCACTTGTTCTTCTTTACATTTTAGAACATTATTATGGCTAGATTGGATAAAAGACGCAAAGGAGTTTTTGGACCACCTATGGGAAAGAAGTGTATAATTTTTATAGATGACATGAATATGCCTGCCCTGGAACAATATGGTGCTCAGCCTCCTATTGAATTATTGCGTCAATTTTTTGACTTTGGAAATTGGTAATTACTTAAAGTTTTACTAAGACGTTATGAAGTCATATTTTGTTCTCATTTTATGTTTTAGTTTCTCATGCAAAATAACACATTTTTTTTTCAAACTATTGTGGAAAGAAAATGGTTGCTAAGGTTTTCATACATAGAAATTGTTGGAAGACTTTCTATACTTTTTTATATTGTTTTTCCTTTTAATGTGTGAGTTAGGCAAGTTGGATGAATTGGAAATGTTATTTCTTCAATAATATAAATTGGAAGTGTTATTTCTTTAATAAGTAAAGTCTTTCTTTCTCAACTATTATTGAGAATCATTTTAGAGGTTGTCTTTCGAAGTATCATTTCCTAAGGACTGAGAATTTGTAGATTGTCTCAACGTAAGTAACCATAATCAGCACTTGTGCTTCAACCATTTTAAACCCTGTTTTCTGTGACTTCTTGGAACCATCATGTCTTTGTGATCGCTTGGTTTTGACAGCAATTTCAAAGGTTACCCTTTGGGTCCTTCTTCACCCCACATTGATGTTGCCATCAGTTTTCAATGCATAAGATCATGCATATTTTAGTGAGGATTAATCAGTTTTCATTTCCTCTCTTAAATCTAATTTCCTATTCTCCATATTAGAGTCCTGGCACTGTAGAATAAACACTGAACTGCTAACCACAAGGTTGTTGGTTCAAACCCACAAGTTGCTCCTTGGAAACCCTATACAGGGTCACTATGAATTGGAACCAACTTGACAGCAATTAACAACAGCAATATTCTACATATAAGGAACCCTCGTGGTGCTGTAGATTAGACATTGGGCTGCTAACCACAAAGTCAGTAGTTCAAACCCACCAGCCACTCTGTGGAGAAAGATGAAACTGTCCCTGTAAAGGTTTACAGTCTCTGAAACTCAATATAGGATTGCTGTGCCCTGAAATTTACTCAGTGGCAGTGGGGTTTTTTTTGTCCCTTCCCTCTCCCCATATACCATGACTTTGACCTCATTGCAAGGGTAGAATAATTTTTATGCTAAGTAATTTTGGGGATACATTTTTGTTATTAACGGCAGACGCTTGGAATCTTGCCTTTCAGAGATCCCTGCTAGTAATGGTTTGCTCCCCATTCCTCCAGATTTTTTCCTACTTAAGTACTTGTTTCATTTTGCAAAATTAAGATCATATTATGCATACTGTTTTGCCACATATTTTCACTTATCTTAAGTGTTCATATCAATGTATATCTGTCTATCTCAGTCATTTTATTGGTTCATAATACTATTTAGTTTCATGGATCTTCCCATGATTTACTTAGTCGGCCCCATATTGATTGTTATGAGAGTTGTTTCCAACAGGCTAAATTATATTGTCATACTTTCATAGTGTATCTTGTATTATAGATTTGTCCCCTGTGTGTATATATATGTGAGTGTGTGTGTATTTTTTCCCAAGATCTTCAGTAGCCTATTGGAGATAGTTACCTTTTCAGTCTGAGTGATTCTAACTAATTTGTGCCACTCAGATACTTTTTTTATGATGAAAATTTCTTTGAGTCTTTATTATTGCCTTTCTCTATAACAAAAATGTATGGTGCTATGTAGACATCGTTATGTACTCTTAAGATAAAATTTGAGATGAAGAAAAGAAAATCAGGACTTTGCTGTAACTGTTGTTGTTGTGTGCTGTTGAGTTGGTTCTTAATAATAGTGACCCTGTTTAGGGTTTCCAAGAGTGGCTGGTGGGTTTGAACTGCCGACTTTGCGGTTAGCAGTTCAGTGCTTTTCTTACAGCAGCACACCAGTGTTCAGAGTGACTATATAGTTTATTGTTAAAGTGGGTTATGTCTGAGATTAAAAGGCTATATTATTTATAATGGCTACAGGACAACAAGCACAAACAACCATTGTCCTAGGCAAAATGGGACGTGTGGTCCCCCTACCTATAACAAGCAACAAAAAGGACCTGGTTACTCATCCATCCTGGATTTGGAGTATGAAGAATAAAATTGAAGATGAAACTGGAAGAAATAGTAGGGGGAAAGAAAGGGTCGAGGCAATAAGAGTAGACATTCTAGAGACCCAGAATCTGGGTAGCTGAATTAGTGTCACTGGAAGCAGAAATAGAATGCAGGTTTAAGAAAAACACCTCTCCTACTCCAAGCATTAATATTAGATTCCGTTTCTAAGGAAATCTTTATTTCATTTCATTTTGTTGACTTTATCACTAATTATTTTAAATTTTTGATGTGCTTTCAAGGTATGACCTTAAGGACACAAGTAAAATCACACTGGTTGATGTTGAACTGATTGCAGCCATGGGACCTCCAGGTGGTGGAAGAAATCCTGTCACTCCACGTTTTATTAGGCATTTCAACGTCTGCTCTATTAATACCTTTAGCGATGAAACTATGGTCCGTATCTTCTCATCAATTGTAGCATTCTACCTTAGGGTTCGTGAATTTCTTCCTGAGTACTTTTTAATTGGGAACCAGATTGTCAGTGGGACAATGGAGGTGAGCAAATATAAAGCTATAGAAAATGTTTAGTATCACAACATATTTTCCTCATTTGTTCCTTTTTCTTTTAGTCTTTTTAATATTATTTCTCTCAGACAGATATGTCTCCATTAGCATAAAAACTATATAGAAGACTTGAGACCAGGAGTTCATAGGTTTTTTAAATAGGGAATCACTGACTGCTGCTTCCTTGCTATGTTGAGCAAGTAATTTGACCTTTCAGTGGCTCAGTTTTCAAATCACTAAAGTGGGATGTAATACCTATTTAATAATAGAATTATCCAGATTCCATCTGCCACATCATAGGCATTTCCTAATTGTTAGGTTCCCTTTGTTGTTGTTAATTGCCCTGGGCAGACCATGTGCACAGAGTAGAACTGCTCCATAGGGTCTTTAAGGCTATTGTCTTTTGGAATCAGATCACCAGACCTGTCTTCTTAGGGGCCTCTAGATCGTCTTTAAGCTAGTTGTTGTTAAGTGACATTGAGTTGATTTCAACTCATAGTGACCCTGTGTAGGGTTTCTGAGGAGCAGCTGAGTTTGAACCACCAACTTTGTGGTCCAGTACATTACCCTGAAGCACCACACCAGAACTAGTAGTCAGGTACTTGTCCATTTACACTACCGAGAAACTCCTTAGAGTCCTACTCAGCTATTTATTACTTTTCCTTTTTCTCTCACCCCTCATTTCATGTTTAACATAAAAAGAAACAGCAAAATACAACACCCTAAAATTTTAGCAGCTTCTGAATATTTTACTTGTTAACCATACCTCATAATTTAGACATAGCAGTGAAAGAAAAAAATAACAAAGGGTAGGAAATAAGGAAATATTAGGATTAAAAACAAAATGGGATTCAATGTGATGGAAGAACAGCAAGGACTTCCTCACTCAGGTGTGTTTTTTGCCTCTGTGCACAGTGGACAGAGCCATTCTTATTACTAATTGTACAAGATAAATAAATGTATTTCAGTGTTAGTCAGTGGTAATTTCATCCAACTAAGTTTTCTAGAAACTTAATAAAGTGAAGTACACTTCTGGATGTAAAAAGCTACTTAGAATCATTCCATCCGTTTTCAAAAACATCTCTTTCTAAAGCCCTTAACAAGTTTATTAAATCTCATTAGGTGAATTAAGCATATAGTACTGGTGTGGCATTGGGGGTTAATGCGCCAGACTGCAAAGCCATTTGAACTGCAGGGTTGCGGTTCAAGCTCACCATTGTCTCCTTGGAAACCCTATACAGGGTTGCTATGGGTTGGAACCAACTTGACGGCACTTAACAACAACAACAAACATGTACTTCATTTACCTATTATAGTCAATGAAGATATAAGGATGGAAGAGAGAATAAGAAAGAAGGGAAGAGAGAATGTATTGACTTGTTTTGAAGTCAGTTGTAGTCAAGAGAAAATTTTTCATCTTCCTCATCATTTGGAATAAGTAATAGTCGTTCCTTAGGATTGGTTCCAGGACTCCTGTGGATACCAAAATCTTGTGAATGCTCAAGTCCCTATATAAAATGGTGTAGTGTTTGCATATGATATGTGCACATCCTCCCATACACTTTAAATCATCTCAAAATTATTTATAATACCTAATAAAAGTAAATGTTATGTGAGTAACACTTTATGCGCCCTCTTAACCTCTGAGGGATTGCTTTGACATAGACACTGCTTCTCACCAGTATTTTTGATCCTCAGTATGTTGAATTCGAGGATACAGAACCTGCAGATAAGTTGGGCTGACTGTATATGATTTCATTTTCTGCTCAAGTTTTTACTATTTCCTTTGAATGGAATAGTCTTAATCACTGGTAAGTAAAGTATTATCACTTCTTGGACATGAATCGAATCAAGTAAGATTGTTGTTGTTAAATGCACTGGAGTCGTTCAACTCATGGTCACCCCATACAGGGTTTTTCAAGAAGGGACTGGTGGGTTTAAACTGCTGAGTTCCAGTGTTTATCCTACACAGCAACTCCAGAACTTAAGAACTTTCAACTTCTTAAAACTTGATTGAGTGCTATAAATGAAAATAAGCAAATATATGCCTTGCTAGACTTGGTTCTGGTAGTCCCAGAGTTACAAATGAGATCTGTTACTGAGTCTTTAAGTGGGATTTGTAGTGAAGCACCAGTGCATATGGTTCTTAATTTTACTGTCGTGCAAGAGGCAGCCCTGGTGGCATAGGTGTTGGCTGCTAACAAGAAGGTTGGGGGTCTAACCCACCGGTCACTCTTGGGGAGAAAGATGAGGCTGTCAGCGCCTGTAAAGATTTATAGTCTTGAAAACCCCATACAAGGTTCATGTGAGTCAGAATCAACTGGATGGCAATGGGTTCGCTTCTTTGTCTTTTAAACTTGTTGTTAACTGCCATGAGTAAGTTCCCACTCATAGCCACCCTATATTGGGCTTCCGAAGAGTTGCTGGTGGGTTCAAACCGCTGACCTTTCTGTTAGCAGTTCAGTGCTTACTCTATAGCGCCACACCGGGACTCCTTTTTAGACTTGGTACTATACAATTTTCCAAGCCAGTATTATCCATACAATACGCATGGGACTGGGAAACATAAGGTCTGTGATTGGAGCCGGCCAGCCTCTCCAGGGGAGAAAGAAGATTGGAGCCGGCCAGCCTCTCCACGGTAGAAAGAAGAGGCTGTCTGTACCCTTCAAGATTTAAGGCCTCTAAAACCCTATATACGGTCACCATGAGTCTGAACCGACTCAACAGCACTTAAGAACAACAACTATATAGTTTCCCAAGCCAGTATAATTTTATGGGGTAAGTAAAATATTTTGTATGTTCGTTATGTGGTGTAACTGATGAAAAATATTTTATTTTTGCTTTGTTGTTTTTTTCATATCCAGATATACAAGCAATCCATGGAAAATCTCTTGCCTACTCCCACCAAATCTCATTACACTTTCAATTTGCGTGATTTCTCACGTGTCATCCGCGGCTGCCTACTTATTGAGAGGGATGCGGTGGAGAGCAAGCACACTATGATCCGCTTGTTTGTACATGAAGTTCTCCGAGTGTTTTCTGATCGACTCATTAATGATCGTGATCGAAACTGGCTATTCAACTTAACCCGAATTGTTATAAAGGATCATTTTAAAGAATCGTTTGATGGTGTCTTTTCACATTTGAGGAAAGGGAATGCACCAGTAAGTAAAGTTAATGAAAAACAAAACAAAACAAAACAAAAAAAACTAAAGTAAAACAACACAGCAGCAGCACTGTTAAAATCAATTTATCTTTAAAATTATTATTGCTTTTTAATGATAGGATTCTTTCAGATTACTTCATAGGTAGGTATTGATTTTTACAAGATGTAGCTTCAGGAGAAATCATTTAATGTAACATGTTGTTGCTAAGTGCTGTCAAGTTGATTTCAACTCATAGCAACCCTTATGTAGGGTTGTTGTTGTTGTTAAGTGCCGTGGAGTCTGAGGCTTTAAATCTTTGGGAATCAGAAAGTTTTATCTTTCTCCAGCTGAGCTACTAGCAGGGTCAACCGCGGACCTTGTGTTTATTGTACGGAACCACCGAGCTCCCTTATGTAATATGTTGTTATTGTTTAGTGCCATCCAGTCCGTTCTGACTCATTGTGACCCTATATAGGGTTTACGAGGAGCGGTTGGTGAGTTGAGGGAATTAAGTGATATAATAGATGTAAAGTACTTAGCATAATGATGATGTCCCTTAGTTACTACTCAATAAATGACTGTCATCCAATAGTGACTTCTTCAGCTTCTGACCAAAATAATAATAATAATAAACAAACAAACAAACAAAAACTTGGAAGATAGGGGAAAAGCTCTTAGTTAAAAAAAAAAATTCTAAGGTTGTAGTATACTTTTAGAAATATTTACTATCCTGCTTAATGAATTATTTAATTGATAATCAGTCCATTGAAATTAAACAACAACAATAAAAACTTTGCTCCCATAGCCTGGATGAAACAAAATTTTGTAGAACATATTCTTAAATTTGTTTTGGAAATGTTTCTTTAAGTTTCATAGTATGCTGATTTTCATGTTATAGATAATTGAAGAGGACTTAAGAAATCTCATGTTTGGTGACTATATGAATCCTGATCTTGAAGGAGATGACAGAGCTTATATTGAAATTCCTGACATTCGCCAGTTTAGTGATGTTGTGGACCAATGCTTAGATGAATATAATCAAACCCACAAAACAAGAATGAATCTTGTCATTTTTAGGTACCTGGATTTGATACTGAGTTTTCCCATAGAAATCATCTTGAGAAACAGGAAATATAAATAATAAAAGCGTTAGTATATTATCAGTGTAAGCTGTTAAAATCTTATTTTATTTATATAATTTATGTATTATTGTTCTTGTGCATGCCATCGGGTTGGTTCTGACTCATGGAGACCCTATATAGGGTTTCCTAGGAGCAGGTGGTCAGTTTCAACCACCAGCTTGTTGTTGTTAAATGCCATCAAGTTGGTTCCAGCCCATAGTGACCCTGTAGATGGCCCAGGTTTCCAAGGAATGGCTGGTGAGCCTGAATCACTGACATTGCAGTTCAGACTGACTTTCAGTCCTGCGCATTAACCCACAGCGCCACACCAGGACTCCTTCACTTAGTAGTCCAGGGCTTATCCTACACCTTATCCTACAATGTCACATTTTCTGAATTTGTACTTTTAATTACTTTTTCTTTGCATCAAAAGATTCTATTGTAATTTCTTTTGAAAAAAATCATACTAGTTTTTATAGTAAACTTTGTAAGATTAGAATAGTGACATATTCGACAGCAAAGCTGCATGTTTCTAGGAAAGCAGGACAAAAGTTAGGTTAAATATGCACTCACATGTATGTTGTCATATCTAATAGATAGTTATTTTTTGGTAGGTATGTACTGGAACATTTATCACGAATATGCCGAATTCTGAAGCAATCTGGTGGAAATGCTTTACTTGTTGGATTTGGAGGAAGTGGTCGTCAATCTTTAACTCGTTTGGCTACATCGATGGCAAAAATGCAGATTTTCCAACCAGAAATTTCTAAGAGCTATGGTATGAATGAGTGGAGAGAGGATTTGAAGGTAAAATTAGTTACCTGGTGTCTAAAAATGTATCAGTGCATTCTTTTCTGTGTGAAGAGGAAGCTGGCTTTTTTAACTGTGTTCTGAAATGCATTAGTGATTATGATAATGATAATGCTATAGAGCACCAACTGTGTGTGCTGAGTTGTCCGTACTTGATGTCATTCTATATGTATAACAAACTATTGCTATCAAGTTGATTTCAATGCACAGCAACACTGTAGCACAGTTTCCAAGACTGTAAACCTTTACAGACAGACTGCCTGACATCTTTTTTTTCCTCAAAGTGGCTGGTGGGTTTGAAATGCAAGCCTTTTGGTTAGCAACTAACCACTTAAACCCTATGCCACCAGAATCCTTTATTCTGTTTTAGGGAGGTCTTGTTGTAGGTAAATATATGCTTTCCTGGAGATTGTTAAATATGAACCTCTTCATGATGTGATGATGACAATGTCATTAATATTGTTCAATCTTAATCATTTGGGAGCTGATTGCTTTTCCATTAACCAATAAAATAGTGAGGTGCACCCTAGGGGCTTCAGCCTCATATGCCTGTAGACCCCAGTAGAGAGATGACTCAAAATGAAAAATAAATAAATAAAAGGAGACATGATATTGTTAGACTTGGGTTTTATTTTCTCTTTCAAGAATCTTCTCATCCTAAATTTCCACATCCAAAAGGTTAGCACAGAGAAATGGGCTTTTCTTTGCCACTTGCAAGTAGAAGTGGTAGAATCCAAGCTTATAGTAAAAGGGTTACATAGACACAGAAGGAAAAGCTTACATTTACGTTATTTTTTTGTTTGTTTGTTTATTTGTGGGGCTTTTTTTCTGCTCAGACTTCAGAGGACATTTTTTGATGTATTTGCTATCCCATGCAATAATAGATCTAAAAAGTTACTTTATAATAGACAGAACATAAACTTTGAAGTCAAATGGACTCAGTTTTAATTCCTGCTTTGCACGGTTTTAAAATGATGTTATATTGGACATATAAGGAAATATTTCCATATTTTAGTTTATTTTTAAATTCTGGATATCACTCATTTAACAGATTATTGTGAAATGTTTTTGGCATGTTGTTATTGTTGCCATCCAGTTGGTTCCAACTCATAACAGCCATTGTAGGGTTTATGATGAGTGGTGGTGGGTTTGAACAGCCAACCTCGCAGTTAGCAGTCTAGTGTTTATACTAAAGTTAGCAGTCTAGTGTTTATACTACAGTGCCACGCCAGATCTTATATCTAATCACCTCAGTTTTATAGTTATTATATTAATATAGCAAAGTAGGTAGAAATTATCATCTTAATAAAATACATGGCACTGTTTTTTATTGCGTAGATACAATAGTAATAAATAACTTCCAGAACATAGATACTAATAAACATAATAAAATAGGAAGTGATAGAATAAGCATTTGTTACCTTTGTTGTTAAATATAATTTAGGTTTAACAGCCTTCTCATAAATTTCTGAAACTTTGGCACTAATTTAACAAGCCTAGAAAGACCAGCACCAGTAGACCACTGAATCAATAGCTTTATATTAGTTCGCAGTTATATATATATATATATATATATCAGCTCAAACTAGTTTAAGCAAAAGAGAGAGTTATTGGCTTACATAACTGAAAAGTCCAAAGGTACATAGGCTTTTTAAAAATGGTTTATTTTAAACATAGCATATTTATTCAGTCCCCTTTTTACATCAGAATTCATTTAAAATTCAACATAATTTCTTTTTCTTTTTGGAGTTGAAAAAGAAAACCTTTTCCTATAATTTTATTTTGTTTAAATACAGCAAAACACACACCAAAAGTTTCTACATGTACAATTTAGTGACGTTTGTTACATTCTTCAGGTTGTACAACCATTTTTATCCTCCTTTTGTGAATTGTTCTTCCCCCATTAACAAACTTACTACCCCATAAGGTTTCTATCTAATCTTTCAAATTCCTGCTTTCAGTTTCATCCCAGTTCTTAAAAGAGCTCAGGCAGACATTCTTTGCTAGTTAAGCTAAAAAACTGGTTGTTTTTAAGAAGACTCGTGGGATATTTTTTTTAGGTTAAAGAGAAAAGGAAATTTTTAGTATTATTTCATAGAACTAAATACACTTCTTTGATACTACACCCAAGTTTGACAAAGGGTAGTTTCTTAAAGATTAGTTAAGGGGGAGAACAAACAAGATGGCGGATGGGATGGATGTGTAGTAAAGAGCTCTGCCAACAACAACACAGAATACCCAACCAAGCAGGCTCAGGGGATGGTCCCAGAACTCTGAACCACATATAAAGGAATTTAGAAGGTTGGAAGGCTCACAGCTGGGGGAATTTGTGGCAGAAGCAAGAAATCTATTGATTTTTAGTCTGGGATGCTCGGCTGCTCCAGGAGCTGCCATCTTGGGTGAGACCAAGTGGGGGAAGGATCAGAGCGGCCATAGACGACTGGCATTCTTTTCTTTTGGTATCTCTTCATTGGTCCCTTGCTGTCTGCGCACCTCCATTCTGGTGACTATAGGGGTACCTGAGCTAGTGGGCACCACAGCCCCACACTTGGAGGATTCTACTACGCATGTGCCCAGATCTCCTCGAAATTTAAAGAGACAGTTTCCAATTAAAACCAAATGGCCACAGCCAGCCCTGAACTGTTTCCAACTAGAAAAAAGGCCTGAATGGGGATTGTGGAGTGGGACAAGCAGACAAAAGAGGAAA